TGGTGAAAGGTCTGACTGCCCTGGCTGCCTCCAAGGCACAGTTGGGTCTTGGCCACAGCTACTCCAGAGCTAAAGTCAAGTTTAATGTCAACAGGGTAGATAACATGATCATCCAGTCCATTGCTCTGTTGGATCAGCTGGACAAAGACATCAACACCTTCTCCATGCGTGTTCGGTAGGAAATTTTCATCACGCAGTAAAAGGACTGGTTAACTGGTTTTTGCATAAAATTAAACAGTTTAGGGAACATGTTAAACTTTCATGCTGTTAATCTTTCACTCTTTTTAATGTCAACCTCTAGTTTTGTGGCTTTTCTGTTGACAGATTTGCATCAGGCTTTTTGTAGTTCGGGGTATCGCACATTTTGGGGCGTCCTCCTAATGCTTACCACAGACAGCACACCTCAGAGTGCTGACTGTATAGAAACAGGAGGTACATCAGTTACTCCCAACACTTCTGTTCTGCCAGCTGTTATCTGGTGAGGCAACACTGTTGGGTGGAACATCGTGTATATTTACTAGCTCAGCATCTTGTAGCTGTTTGGGGTGTTGTGGCGCATGCATTCATTTTGGTGTGAAATATCCTGGTGCAAACTGTCAGAGTGCAAGATCATCTAGAACATTAAGGCATCAGTTATTGTCAGCTTTAGCATTCAAGTCTTAAAAGCTCCAGGCTTTTCCTACCGATACAGGATTCTATGAATAGAATTGGATATCTAAAGAGAAGGAGAAGCTGTAATTTTGAAAGGGATATTTTTCCAGCAGTCTTGAACTTTGTGCCATCTTAATGGGTAGTTCAGCATTTAAATGTTTAGTCCAAAAATCCTGCACTCAAAGTTTTAACACCCTCTTGTTTATCTACAGTGAATGGTATGGCTACCACTTTCCAGAGCTCATCAAAATTGTGTCCGACAACTCGATGTACTGCCGCCTGGCTCAGCTCATTGGAAACAGGAAGGAGTTGTCAGAGGAGAACCTAGAAAGTTTAGAGGAGGTGGTGATGGACAGTGCCAAGGCTCAGGCCATCCTGGATGCATCACGCTCCTCTATGGGTGAGTAAATGGTAAATGGCCTGTATTTATATAGCGCTTTTACTAGTCCCTAAGGACCCCAAAGCGCTTTACATATCCAGTCATCCACCCATTCACACACACATTCACACACTGGTGATGGCAGCTACATTGTAGCCACAGCCACCCACAGAGTACACCACACATTCAGAGTATGTGCTGCATAATTTCACAAATACACATCCTGCTTGGGTCAAAGTTAATTTCATCCATATCCAAAGTTAATTTATGCCAGCTTGACTCTGGCTCATCCACATACTCTACATTGTGCCCCTTTTTTGCCCACTCTGGACTACAAGTGTCCTTGGTGTCTAACACAGGGGGGTAGAGTAGTTCTCTCATAAACCTGTAGTGAAGGCATGCATCCTCACTGCGGATCCTGTCGGGAGAAACAATCTCACGTTTCATGCCATGTACTGGTTTAAAATGTCACAAATGCAGCACCTGCTAAATGTATAATGCTGATCATCCTCTGGTTGTTTGGTCTTCAGGTATGGATATATCTCCCATTGACCTGATTAACATCGAGAGGTTTTCGAGTCGTGTCGTGTCTCTGGCTGCCTACCGGCTGGAGCTGCAGGAGTATCTGCGGTCTAAGATGAGCCAAGTGGCTCCAAACCTGGCAGCCTTGATTGGAGAAGTGGTGAGTCGAAGTTTTATTTTTAACCCCGACACACGGACCAATGATGTTATACCAAAATCTGTCAATCCACTGAGCCAGTGTGATGAAAAATGTATTCGGTGCTGATGGTCCTCATACTGTGTTGTGCATCCAGTGTCAAAATTGTGATTTATTATTATTTTTTGCTTAAGTGGACCATAACAGATTGTCTTATCTCCAGGTTGGAGCGCGTCTGATCTCCCACGCTGGCAGTCTGACCAACCTCGCCAAGTATCCAGCATCCACGGTTCAGATCTTGGGAGCAGAGAAGGCCCTGTTCAGGTACTGGGGCACCCCCTCCCTGCTGGGGAAAAAAGTGGCTGCAGTGATGGCAGGGCTGGGCTGGAGCAGAGCTGGGTGACTGGAGAAGACCCAGTCTCCTCTGGAGTGATCCTGCTCGCCCAAATGCACACCCACAGTCTGAGCACCCACTCACAGCACAGAGGTAGAAATTTGGCTAACAGTACAGAATGTTTGAAGTTACCATCAGCAGTGTCTAAAACTAAATTCTAGCGATAGCGTCCACGTAGCTGCAAAGTTAAGTTGTATGTGTTCTTTTAAGTGCCTTCCAATGTGCATATTTTAATGTTGTCCACAAGAGGGAGCTGTTAAGTTGCTCGCATATTAGTTCTATATGTTAATGTGTGTACTGCCATTTGGATGTGGCTGAACCTCATGTCACTGGTAGTTGTCCTTCCTGATAAACTGCATGTTAAACCTGCGTATTTCAAGTCTGGTTAACTGCTGTGTGTAGACTTTGAGCAATAGACTGTGAAAAGGTAACATTTCACACCTGCCGTTCATCCTGATTGTGAAAGCAGCTGTATTTTCACAGAGCCCTGAAAACGCGTGGAAACACCCCCAAGTACGGCCTCATTTTCCACTCGACTTTCATCGGCCGTGCCGCTGCCAAAAACAAAGGCCGCATCTCCAGATATTTGGCAAACAAGTGCACGATCGCCTCACGTATCGACTGCTTCTCAGGTGAGTGACCCACCACACGCCTGCATCGGCTTACATACATGTGGCATCATTGCAGTGATGCTCATATTTTTCGTCAACAGTATTCAGCCTTAGGGTTGGTGTTGAGAAGCTTTCTCCTGAGCAGAGCCACATGTCTTTTAGGGACGCTGATTAGTCAAGTATAATCCGCTGCTTGTTGATTAAGCTGAAGTTTTCTCGCTCTCTTACAGAGTTGCCCACAAGCGTGTTTGGTGACAAGCTGCGTGAACAGGTAGAAGAGCGGCTGTCTTTCTATGAGACCGGTGATGTACCACGGAAAAATGTGGATGTCATGAAAGAGGCTCTCAAAGAGGTTAGCTTGAGATTTTTATTATTGATTTTTAAATGTCTTGTCAAAGGCCTAACAAATGGAGAATCAAGTTCCTGTAAGACATTTCAAAAGTATCTTTGATTCTTTCAATCTCTGTATGCTGTAAGTGATGAGACATCTTTCCCTGACATCTCAGTGAGGGTAAAAGCTGATTTAATGAGCCTGATGCAGCCCCTGGACCTCTGGGGAAAATCTCATTGTTTTACCCTGATTTAACTGAATTTGTCGTGGGTTTTTTTTTTCTCTCTCTCTCCTCATCTTAGGCTACTGATGTTGCAGCTGAGATCAAACGCAAACTAGAGAAGAAGGAAAAGAAACGTAAGAAGCGTGAAAAGAAGTTACAAGAACTTGGAGAAAATGGAGACGCTAACGGTGACACAGAGGTAAGTGTTGTTTTTCTGTGGCCTTGGCATGTTATGATTTGAGATGGGACCCAAACATGGTCTCTTCTCAGTGTACGGCATGCCATATAAGAAGACTCCGAACCATTGGCTGGTCCTAATCAATGGGCTTGATCACTGAAGAGAGTCGTACATTAAAGCTGTATCACAGCCATTGGGCTTTCAGGCTTCCAAGCATTGAAAAGAGTGTTTCTGATATTTAAATTTATTTATTTATTTTTGTCTGAAGGTGGAGAATGGAGAAGAGGACAACACTCTTAAGAAGAAGAAAAAGAAGAAACAAGCAGCTGAGGAGATGGAGGCACAGGCAGAGGAGGCCCCCTCTGGAGAAAATGGAGAAGAGACTTCAGCCAAGAAGAAAAAGAAACGAAAAGCAGCGTCGGAGGAAGCTCCAGATGCCGAGGATGGAGCTGAGGAAACTGAGACTCCTGCAAAGAAAAAGAAGCGAAAAACTGATGCTATGGACACACAGCCAGAGGAAACCCCAGAAACACCCGTGACTGAAAAGAAAAAGAAAAAGAAGAAAAAAGATGCTGCAGAGTAAAGAATGGATGTGTGGACAATAAAATTCTTGTTTTTGTGTACAGTTTTTGCTTTAATTCAGATAACCCCTACATAAGGGTGTTAACTGTATGTCTAGTATATCAGTAGCTTTGTTGTACTGTCTCTTATTTTTGTATGAATGCAGGTTATTTTGCTAATGAATGCTTATAACTGTGCCTTGGAGTCGGTAGAATTTACCTGCACTTCTGAAAATAAATTGCCTCTCAAGCTTTTTTGTTTTTGTTAAAAACATTTTTTTGGGGGGGTGGGGGAGCAGCATCACTGTTAACAGGTAATATTTCCTGAAAACCATCATTGGGAAGCTTTCCAAAAAAAAGTCATGTACTACTGTAACAAACCCCGTCCAGTCGGTTCACCTGGCACACATGACCTTGATTATATAAGTTGGCATTTAAAAGTCACTGTACTGAATGTCCTCATCGGTATGGAGAGGAGGCAGGCACATTTCAATACACCACTGCTCATCGAGGCTAGTCCACATATTTTCGTGTGGACTGTTGACATAACTAAAATAGTCATGCGTGCACAGACTTTCTGAAAGGCTAGTTTTTGGCAATTATGTGCAGAGGCTAACTGAAGCTTAATCATAACTTAATGCAAGAAGAAAATCTGATGTACTCTTGTCTATAGATCTTCAGCATATTAAATTTTTAGGTCTGAAACAACTGCAGTGTGTATTTATACAGGGTGCACTTTTGTAAGCGCAGGTCTGGATGGTGGCAAAACCGTTGTGGACTTTCAAAGTTGCTGAAAGTCAAAACAGTGTGGCCACTGTGTTGTAAGATCAGTAATCTCTTTAACAAGGAACAAAAATGCTTAGTTTCTGCTGAACTGCTTCAAACGGTGCCGATAGCCATACTTCCTGTTAAATGTTAGCCCTGAGCAACATTGTTTGATTACACATCAACAGTCCTTTGTTGTCATACATAACCTCCAAGTGTAGTAAGCAAATACTGATGCCAGATCGATAGAAACTGTTCATTAATTTTAATTTGGACAACAAGGATTAAACCAATGTTAAAATGACATCAAATCCAAGGCCTGGCTGGTCAAGCCAACCAACTAGTAAGAGTCAGGGAATGAGAGACAAATGGAAGGAAACGGGGTAAAAGAAAAGTCTAGCTATCAACTCAAGTCACCCTCAATATAAGGATTCACAGATGCGGGAGACCAAAGTTACAAAAAAAATATTTCTTCTAAAATTAAAAAAAGGCTTTTGCCATGAAAATGATGGGTATAATCTATGTACATCATTCTCAGTTCATGTATGCATACAAAAAAAATCCACATCACAAGATGCTTGTGTTCAAGTATATTCACCATCTTCATCTCCATGATTTAGCATTCTCATCTTTCCATTATTTTGAAATAAAATGTCCTTCAAAATAAAAAAAATGCAGAAAACCACATTTTATGTCCTACCAATACATATATACTGTATAAATACATACATAAATATATTTTACATACAACAGCCATAAATTTGAAAAGGGGATATACAGAGCAAAGGGGAGGGGGGTGGTGGTAGTGTGTGTGTTTTAGCTTGTGTTGTAAATCGTTTGTCCCTCTATGATCTTGTCAGTCAGATATACTGGTGTGGTCGTTCTCAGTTGGCCCAGTAAGGGGAGCTGCCGTAGCCCGACTTGTTGACTTGGCTCTTCTGCTGCAGGCTACTGGACTGGCCGCGCTGGCTCGGACCACCCTGAACATCAAACATCAATAAACAGGTAAACATCCCAAAACAGATAAACATGTATGAAGTGACAAAGATGAAACCCAGGAGACTGCTGGGAAGTATCTGTACCTGTCCATCCTGAGCAAGATGGTGGTGCAGCAGCTGTGAGTGTGGTTGCTGGTGAGGCAAGATGTGGAGGAATGGGGCAGGTGCATAGCCTCCAGGAGCTGCTCCAGGGTTCAGAGGCCCTGGACCCCCCAGCGCTGATGGCAGAGTGAAGGGAGGAGGGGTTCCTGCATGGAAACCCTGCTTATCAAAAGACTGCAGATAGAGAAGAGATGATTTATTAGTAAAGGCACAAACAGCACAGCAACACAACAGGGTGGGTGTGCAGCTGACATTTGTCACCTGGGTCTTATTGTAAACACTTCCACTGATGTCTGGCACACCGGAGTTACTGGATGTCACTGAGACCCCTGGTAGAAAAACAGTACAATTAAAACTTGGACTTTAAAAATTCAAATTAGCAACAGTGTCTTTTCTTTGTACCTTTCCCGGGGCCAGTAGCAGCAGATTTGGCTTGTGCCTGTGAAGAGGAGTTGTACCCTTTACTGTATTCCACTCCCGCCGGCCCTGCTGTCAGCTCTTCGTACCCTGGAAAAGAAAACATCTTGTCTCATCTTGTCAAACAAATCACAGTAACAACCCTGCTCGAATTGCCAGTGCTGACAGGCATTGGCATGGGTTTTTAGGAACCTGAGCTGAAGGTGTGCTGGCCATAGCCGCTGGGCTGCTGCTGTGTCTGCTGCTGGAAGGGGCTAGCCGAAGGGTTTCCCAGGCCGAGGCCCATGCTGTGCTGCTTGGCCGAAGCTGGTCCTGGCCCTCCAGGAGGAACAAACATGGTGGGGCCATATTGGAAGGTAGCAGCACTAGGTACGGCACCGGGCACTCCAGGGTAGTAAGGCAGGCCTGTGTAGCTGTAGCCTGGCGGCAGAAAGGCCTGCTGACTGCTGTGGTGCTGTGGCTGGCCCTGGGGCTGAGGCTGGGCCTGAGGAGGCTGAGGCTGCGCCTGGTTCTGTCCTTGGCTCTGAGCCTGGGGAGGCTGCGGCGCCGCAAGGCTTGTGGGGGGAGCTGGGGAGGTGGAGTCATTCCTGCCAAACTTTGTGACTTCACCTAGCAAAAACAGGAGAGAAGTCAAGTGAGAATAAACACCGGATTTTAGGATTTCAGCCAAGAGTTAAGGTGCTTTACCTGAGTAAGGGTTGTTGGCAAGGCTCCCGTCTCTGCCGGAAAGAGTTGCTGCGGGGCCAGGGAATGTTATTCCATAGTAATCCTGCAAAGAGGGCTAAAGGAAGAGAAGAGGATCAGGAGAGGATCCACGACAACCTAAAAATCTGAACAAGCACTAAAGAGATGACAAACAAAGAGTTGTCCCACAAGCGTAACAATTCATCTCACCATTGGCAGTCTCGACTGGAGCATATGCAGGTCCTCATAGCCATAGATCTGCTGTGAGGCACAAAAAACAAGAAGGCTCAGTCACACATCCTACAGAATACTGCATGTGTAAATACAAAAGCCCAAGCACACAAAAGTGACTCTGGATCTTAGAAGGTCTACTTACTGGGTAAGCAGGCAGCAGCCCCCCCGGGCCCATAATGTACTGGTTGGGCAGTAGAGGAGGCACACCCTGGGACAGGTTAGGAGGAGCTTTACCTGTCAATACAATAACACACATTTACTTTAATGTACATCTAAGGGCTCCAATTAGAGCCACTTAAAAAGGTGGTATCATGGAGCCAGTGGTATAGGTGAAAACAATGCCCTTAATGCATTACCAGTGGAGGAGGAGAGCAGGGGTGTAGTCCTTGGAGCAGAGAGGTTGGATGTGGCAGTAGCTCCATTGGAGCCAAGTCCCAGTACTGTACTGCTGGTGGCGGTAGCAGCTGAGTGAAGTCCACTCGTACCAGCAATACCGCCAACTGTGCTGCTCATGTTGTTGCCCATGCTGGGCATGTTGGACAGGTGGCTGATGCTGCTGCTACTGTTGCTGCTGTTGTGGGCTGAGTGGAGTGCTGAGGCTGTGGGTTGGGATGACGTGTAAGAGCCAGATGAGGGAGCCAGAGAGCTCACATTGCTGCTGTCAACACTGGTGTACTGTAGACAAAGAAACAAAAGAAGTGGCTTGAATTGAAGTAGTTCTATTCGATTTATTCTGCAGATTTCATTTCTTAAGGCATGCTGCCTATACTGGTTATTAAACTGGAGACACCCAGATGGCAGGGGGTCCTTTACCTAGGATCCCCTCCCCAAATAATCAAGACATTTATGCTTTTAAGCCTACTTTGGCTTTATTTTTATTAGGACTTTGGCACATCGGCCTGTTATAATTCCATGTTATTAAGCTGCAGAGGAAATCACACAGAGAACAAACAGGTACTTACAGTGTGAGAGCTGGAGCCCAGAGCTGAAACTGAGGAATGACTGCTGACATGACTGCAGAGGGAAGGCACAGTGGAATGTGTGATCATTAGCAAGTGTACAAGGAGGCACTACAAGTCAAGAGGTTGGTTTTTTGTTCGTTTGTTTTGTTGTTGTTTTTTTAAAGATGACACACTGAGAAGAAAAAAAATCTTTCAACCATTTGGAAGAAACAGTAGACAAGTAGGGAACACAAATGTCTAAATTAAAGCTATACTAAGTTACTGTGTGTGTTTAAGTGTGTCACCTGTTGAGTGAGTTGAGTTGGCTGACTGAGGGCAGGTCCGCTGCCAGGCCGGAGAGCGTGGTGGAGCTGTGTGGAGGCATGGTAGACGGTAAATGGGAGGAAGGAGCTGAGGCGCCGTTGGTGCTGATGTTCATAGACGGTGACTCTGGTTTTGGTGTAGAAGAAGCTGATGAAGCTGAGATTGGGAGTACATAATCGTGTAAATAACCTGAATGAGCTTAGCCAAATGAAGAATGTTGACATTTGTAAAGAGCAACAAATATGCATTCAACTGACCAATTAATCAAAAGTAACTCACTGTCCAGAGCAGCAGAAGTCCTCACACCATTCAAACCGTTCTGGTGGTAAGAAAATATAGAGCAGCTGTGTTTTCATTCACTGATAACAGATAAGAACGTTTACAGCATCTACAAACACACTGTATCAACAAAACTTGAATTCAATTCAGAGTTGACATTATTTGGCAAGACAGTGGAAATCAACCCTAAACAAATTTATCATGTTTTACAGGAAGTTAGTATGAGACTGAGCAAATGACTCATGACCTGTAATTTCTGAGTGACACTGTTTTTACAACAGGAAGTAATACTGTCTGGTTGCGTTGATGACCAATGACCTCAAAGATAGAAAATGGTCAAAGATTAATTTATCCCCCCTCTCCATTCAAAGATTACCACCTTTGAGGACAGATTTTGTGAACTACTGCTCATTAGTCCCTTTTACTCACCATCACTGGCCCCGTGGCCTCTTTGTTCTGAGAAAATGCCAGTCTTGTGTGAGGGGGCATGGTCCCATCATAGCTCCCCCCCACCGTGGAGAAGGGAGATGAGGAAGGTACAGAGGCGGAGGTGGTTGAGGTTGTTGAAGAGGGGGAAGGAGTGTTGGTTGAGCTTGCGGTCCCTAACGATGAGGAGGTGAGACTCGGCAAAGCCACTGTGGAGGAGTGATAAACTGGCTCTGATGAGGAGAGGGGCAAAGACAGGGCCACCGAGAGAGGGCTGCCCAGTGACTCACTGCAAGGCACCAAAATGAAAAGTACAGATAGGTTGACAGTTTAAAACTTTATGTACCATTTTCCATTCTGAGTCATCTATGATTAAATCCATCTTTTACACAGTATCTGACATACACAGTGTTTTGGGGATACATCTTGTTAAATGCGTCGCTCTTGCATTGTTTTAGAAAGATTTAATAAGTGATCAGAGGCGACACAGTACCTGAGCGGTTTAGAGTACAGGCTCGTCTGGCTCTGTGCCCCCGGTCCTGTTGCAGGTGGTGCTGAGGCAGGGGCCGACGCGGACTCCCTCGATGCTGCACTCACGCAATTATCCACGACTCCAAATTCTGGCAACGCCGATTCCGAGCCAAAGTCTAGTGCTCCAAACTGGAGGTTCAGTCCAGGAACATCTGCTGAGCCTGGCATCTCTACTGCAGTGGATGGGATCTTTCAGAAAGAAAGTGAAACAAGTTTTAGCACCTGGATATAAAGTGTGTAAAACTGATGACTTTGGTTTGACTCAAAAGTAAAATTCTAATAATAACAGCACACTTAAGGATAAAAGAATAAAAATAAAACCCCATGCGGGCCATAAGGTTTGTGAGTAACTAAGTATTTATCTGAGAGCTTAAGGCCATTGCTATCTGTTTACCTTTGACGTGGGAGGTATCCTTCGTTTCTGGCCTTTGAGCTGTACCCGTTGCTGCTGTGTCGTGCTGTTGCCCTGAGGGTCCAGCCCTGCATTCGGGGCAAGAGGTTTAGCACCAGCAGGAGCCATCACCGGGCCTGCCTGTGCTGGAGTGCTGGTGTGTTGGGGAGCAGGCGAGGCTGAAGCAGATGGTGCTTGCTGTTGCGATTGTGGACTCGTCTGACGCGCCAAAGGCAAGGAGGGGCCCGTGTGCCTCTGAACCAGCTGACTCAGCACAAGAGAAGGCTCTGGCTGCAGACCAAACTCACCTGCGGATTCACAACAACCAGAAGGAGCCGGGAACAGATTTGAAATAAGTGAATATAAATGCTTATGTAATAAACAAAAAAGAAAAAAACAAGTGAGCACCACTTTTCCATTTGTACACCTACGGCTGTACTGTGAGGACAGTGAGGTGGTGTTGGATTCTGAAGTCTTCATGTCCCAGCTAGAGGAGGAGGGTGGAGGTACAGGTGCTCCCAGGCCTGGCAGTCGACCAATAGAAGTGTTGCTTCCTTGGCTACTGACAGGAGGGGTTGCCTGGGATGAGGAAAGCTGACCCAAGCCAGGACCCTTCAGCTGTTCCAGTATCTGAGCTCCAGGGCTGGCCTGAGTCCTTTTAGCCTGGCCCAAGTCCCCAAAACCAGCTCCCAGCACTGATGACTGGCACAGAAGAGGAGAAAACAGAGTCATCAATCTTTGTTTCTGGATCTCTGTACAACACATGGCAGATCAAAGACCATGTGACATGAGAAGGAGTGTAGAGTGTATTTTTACCAGAGCAGCATGTGCGTAGCTTGTGCTACTGGTGGCACTGCGGCTGTGGGGCTGCTGCTGGTGATGATGGGAGTTGGTAAAGACCAGACTCTGAGAGGAAGAAGAAGGTGGTTCTCTTGCTCCAACCACAGGCTTCTGCAGCAGAGAAGCGAGGTCCAGACTAACAGACAGAGTCCATTCAGCCAATTAGAAAATATATTACAGCAAAAAAAGAAGAAGAAGCAAAAATTTAATATAACATCTCTTAACAGGAAATTCTTGACCCCCCCGCCCAAGAAAAGTGTAAAATATAAAGTTACGCACCTTTGCCCAGGGGTGATGTGGTTCTCAGCAGCAGGTGCACATGAGGAGGTGAACACTTTGGTCTCTGAGAGCTGCAGAAGGACACAAAGACAGACACACAATTGTTACACCATCAAAACATACCTGCTACTACCAGTCTGTAATGTGTGACACTGTGTCAACTCACACTAACATCCTCACTCCAATCCTCAGCTGCCCAGTCTTCCAAAGTATTCCTCCAGGCAACTAGAGGACAACCAGTAATAAGTGAGAAGTGCAGACAGAATAAGCAGGTGTACAAGAAGCAGTATGCAAACTCTGATAGGGATAACGGTCCTGTCTGCTCTGTGGGCACACACCTGGATATATAAGCCATGAGCTGTTTGTATGTGAATGTGTGTTCTCCTGAGCTCACCTGTTCCATCTGTGCTGTTGTTGGTCGTTGTGTCCCAAACCTCTGTTTGTGTGGTCCCTGTCCGAGCCTCTGAGGTATAGTCAGCAGGATTGAAAGTCCTGGAGAAGATTTAAGGAGACAAATACTGAGACAGACACACAAACACACACACACACACACACACAAAAAGTGGTTTTCTAGTAATAGAAGTAATAGAAAATACTGCCAGATGAGAATGTGCGTAGTTACAGGGTTTTAAAAAACCTTAACAACAGGCTTTTTTCCCCCTCCTGGCTGCTTGGCCTTCAGATTTCTGTCAGAATGCATTTATCCTGTTAGTTTCTAAATGAAACATCTTCATTCTCATTGAAAACGTATTAATTTTCACCTAAAACTCTTAGAAGAATGAAACTCTGTGTGTGTGTGTGTGTGTGTGTGTGTGTGTGTGTGTGTGTGTGTGTGCGCGCGCGCATGTTCGAGCATACCCCATCCCCTGGGCTGAAAACCTGCTTCCTGTTGGTGCTCTCCCTCGACCTCGAACTCCAGATCCTGTGTGATAGTCACACAAAGGTTAACAACTTACCCTCAAGTCTTCGCTATATTGACAGTGCTGTGTTGGTGCATCTGCTCACCTCTTCCACCTTTGACCCTCCGACCTCGATCAGAGCCTTTGTCCACTGGTGTCACCTCAACACCGTTCTCCTCTGGACGTGCTATGTATGTAGAAACAAAAAAGAAAAGTGACTAACATGAACAGTAGGACAAACAATACTGAAAATTGAAAAACTGAAGTTCCTTACCCTGTCGGCTCCGACTGGCCCCTTTGCCTTTGCGGTTGCCAGTGGCACGACCCTTGCTAGCCTCCCTTTCGCCCTTCTTCTCCCGGTTCTCCTTGTTCTCCTTGCTTTCTGATGGGCCTTCTTTCACCAAGGGCTTCTTCTTTCCCACTGTTTCCCATGAGGTCTGAACACAGAAAAGGATTTTTTTAATTAAACAATGACACCTTAAATAAACAGTACTGGATTAATAACATAATAATAATAATACATTTTATTTCAAAACACCCAAGCAAATAAGAGCAAATAAGACAAGCATAAAAACAGGAAATGAACACAATAACAAAACAAAGTTTAAGAGCATGGAGAAGTTATACAGAGTAGGCTATCTTGAACAGGTGAGTTTTGAGGGTGGACTTAAAACGGGGGAAAGAAGTGATGTTTCTGAGGTCAGGGGGTAAGGAATTCCAAAGTTGAGAGGCAGAGCAACTAAAAGCCCTGCCCCCCATGGTAGTAATAAGACAAAAGGAAGGAACAGGAAGAAGAAGAGAAGAGGAGGATCTGAGGCACCGGGATGGGATGGAGACCTGTACCATATCAAAGAGATATGGTGGGGTAAAACAAGATACCAGCACTGAAGCATTCAAAAGCAGCTTTAATTTAAAAGGAAAAAGGAAAAAAACAAAACAAAACAAAAGATACTGAATAACATTTTATCTGTGATTGCAGCTGCAGACAGCAGCAATTATTATTGTGAATAAAATGAAGGGTATTTTACATCCTTTTCCAATGAGCTACTGATGGCAGACTGCCCAATTTAAAAGGTAACTCCTAGGTAGTGTTTTCAATTGAGGTTTTAGGTATTTTAACCAGCTCTTTAATCAGCTGCTTACAGCCCTCCTTCACCACCACTTAACTGAATTAGTAATCGCAATCCCCTCTTGTTCTTCCCGTCAAATGGAGTGCAGTTAGCGAGTGCTCCGGCTATGCCTGGTTAAACTGTTTGTTTACTTTTGAGTCACACATGCCTTCTTAGGTTGATTCTACTCAATGGTATGTTTTTGCTTCAAGTGGTGAAACAAGTTTGTTGTTCCCACCTTTAGCGGGAACAGTTTTTTTCTTGAGTATTTTGCCAGAGCATTGTGCTTTGTTGGAAGTTACCAAAGTAGTTCCCTTTCTTACTAAAAGCCTCTCACTGTCAGACATGTTTGAGCTTGTCTACTTGTCCATGCTGGGAAACCTAAGTCACGGCGTCCTCATATCACTGGTACCGTGATATGGCACTTTTGTCGTATTATAGCAGATGATATGATATGCCACAGGCCTAATGGTAACCCAACATGAACTTGTGTATTTTGCTCCAAGACATACCATGCCAGATATTAGAGGGCACTGAAAAACATGAAAAAGAAAGCTGCGATGTTGACGATTTTTGACCACCCCTATGCAGTGACGTGTAAATAAATACAATAAATACCAGAACAATTTTCCTTATTGTGAAACTACTCCTACAGCATAAGAAAAATGTTTCAGAAGCATCTCTTTCTTTATGACATAGTGAACAGTACAGGTTTCAGATTACGTAACAATGATAGCATTACAGTAGAGACTTCCAGGTAAGACGGAAAACCAGCTATTTGCTATTTTTGGGCTTCCATGAAAGCAAAAACAATACTGATAGTCGAGCCTGACAGTCTTTCCTCAACATCTGAGCCAGCTGGTATTTTTCAAATCTGCTGAGACGTTCAGACACAACACCCAAGTGCTTGCCAGGCATTTAGTGGCCTGTTTGACCTTGCGCTCGGAACAGAAGACCAAGAAAATTTTTTTGTACAACAGTTCATGATTTAAAAAATAAAAAAAAGTCACACAAGTATTCACAGGGACACAGCGCAGCTTAGAGACTGATGTTAGTGGATATGTGCATATCTGACAGAGCTCAGATGACACTACTTAAATTCTATTTTAACCAATAAGGTTCTCTTCAAATCCAGAGCAATGGCTCACACTCCACTTTAAGAGTACATGAAAATTTGAAAGTGACAGTACTGAACATTTCACTATACAGCCTGAGTATACACAATGATAGCAGCTAGAAAACCCTCATGATGCCATTAAATGACACCAAAATGTTCATGTTTCATTTGTTTTAAAGTTTCAGCAACTTGTTCTCAACAAAAGAAAAAAAATACACATCTCAAAAACCATCAAACAGAGGCTGTTATGAACAGTCAAAAGCAGATTAAAGGCTCTATATGTGTACTTTGCATTTATTCCGTTTATTTCACCTAAAGTTGTCATTTACCATGTCTGTGTTGCTCTCCAGGAGGAAGTTGATGGCTCTGCTGACATCCTCATTGCAATCATGGAGCGCAACCATGCACTCATCCTGGTTTTTCCCCGTCACTTCCATCAGCTTGGTTAGAAAAGAAAAAAGAAAACATTAGAAAACACGATTAGTAATGTCAAATGATAAAAACAAATTGCACAATGTAGATTAACGGAAGAACATGAAAACATAGCCTGATTCTCCCTAAGAGTCTGACATAAGTCCCACACAGTCTGACAACTACTTAAGGGTCACTAACCTGGTTAACTTTGCCCTCAAAGTCAGCATCATTCTTGTCATAGATCATCTGAGCAAGCCGGATCTGCTCAGCAGTAGCCTGTAACACAGAAACAATTGGACAGCTTTTACCAAGAGAAAAATGAGGAATAAAGTATGTGAAATATAAAGAGAATGAATTCAAATGTTTGTTTTGTTTTGAATTGTCTGAAATCACTTTATATTGTCACAATATAAAGTGCATGATTGTGAAGCTGCAATCAAAACAAAAGAAAATACTTTTCAGTACTGATCATCAGATAAATTGCTTGTCATGGTTGTGTTGGGGTTTGTTTTTTTTTGCTTTTTTTCCTCTTACAATGTCAGCATTTCAAAGAACTGTGGTTTTAGGTATGCAGTGGCTCACCTGTATTTGTTTCTGTGGTTGTGATGTGTGAGCGGAAGCTGGCAGCGCTTTTTCCCGAGGGCTCCGGGCCTTGTCGCCGCCCAGCGAGCTCATCATATACAGTATATACAAAACTCTGTATGTACAAAATAGAAAAATCTGCAGAAGGAAAACACAACATGTGTTGATGAGTGAACGGAAAGGAAAATAACACTGCAGTTACTGTGTTGCTAGAATAGAGCGTCAGTGTTTGTTTTTCTTTTTCTTGAATAAGTCCGAATGCCAAAAGTATGTGCTGTGGGTATACCTAAGCCTTATTGGACAAATATGAATACTCCCCTTATGGAGGCTGTAAGCCCCACAGTTGGCCTGGTGACGCAACAGCTTTGCTGAAAATCTGGGTCAAGGAGGGAAAGCAACCCAGTGTCCTCTTACAAACAGCACAGAACTCTGTGTGTGCGAGGCAGAACAAACACTACACACCCTGACCCCACACCCCTTGCTTTTCTAGACAGTTTAAAGCAAATTTGTTGTACACACTCCAAGCACCAAACTTCTGCAGTGAAATACTGAATTCTTCTCTATACTTCTATAGTCCTGTGCAATATAGATCTTGTTTTACATTGGCACCAGCTAACATGTTTTTAAAAGCACATAGTAAACAGTATCAGAATCACTTCCACAAGGAGGGCTTTATTTACCCATAAGCATACGGCCAACGTGACTTCTCAGTACTCTGTACTGCAACGTTTACCAGTGAATTTTCACTAGTGTCCATCATAAGGACGACTACAGATGTTCCCACTCTCCCACTTTGTTTTATGTCAGAGAACAATAGCAAGTGCCTGAATGACGTTTGCAAATACAAAGCTGCCATTGGCTACTGGACTGAACAAAGCTTAACGCACAAGGACGACCAAGCTTCAAAAGGAATTTTAGCTTTTAAAAAAGCAAGAAAAAATAAATATATTTCTGACTTTGGGAATAAATGAAGTATATATAATAAAAATATTTAATAAAAAATATATGATAAAAATATTACTACATCGCAATTACGGGTATCGACAGTCATGGCCACAAACGATAACAAAACAATAATCCACTAACAGTATTTCGCAATTCCTACTATATTTATGTTGGCAACCAGAAATATCAAATCAGAGACAAGTTCCACGAAGCCCCGTGTTTATATACATTAACTTATATCTGTTTACAAATGTCTAAATTATATTTATCTACAGGTTATTATTCCAGTAACGAAGGAAGCGGAGGGTTGTTTTGAACCAATGCTAACATTAGCCCGCTGCTGTTACTTATATTTCGAGTTTAACAATGAGACACTTTGGTAACGGCTAACATCCCATATCGCTCTTTGAAAAATAAATCAGAGTCACGTAGCATCGTTTTAGATTGAATACTGACCGACTTTGTGCCTTTGGTGTTATGGTCCCCTTTGTCCTCGCTAGCAAGAACTGAAGTTAGCTACCAGCTTGCTAGCGCTGAGACCGTAGCGTCGATAGTGAGCAAACGATGGAGTGGGATCGCGGATAGCTAACGATGCTATCTAAATCTGGTCCAAGTTGATAGCCAACGGCGGTCTAACTGGCTTCTTTAAGCTTTATAGGCATTTAAAGGTCCACGCCGCCATGTTATGACAGTTGCCTTTAAACCAGACGTGCCGCAAACATGTAAACTAGACGCTAACCAAGCTAACAACAAAGGTACACGAAATCTAAAGCAAAGGCCTCGTAGCGAAGCACAATCCCATCCCGACATTGCTCGCCGGGAAACAAGACAACAGAAAAATTGCGAAAAAAACATCCTTCACAACCTCGAGAAAACGAAATAGAAAAGCCAGCGACCCGGTGCGTCACCAAAAAAAGACAACAAGCACGTAATTAAAATACCCGAAAACACACAAACCTAAGTTGAAAATCGCAAGAAAATATGTTTTTATTACCTGCTAACACGCTTCACTCGGCCAGCAGCAGACAGGATGATCACGTGACGCGTGGTGCCGCGGTGGATGCTCATCTCTCGTCTCCAGGTCACAACTAAACTTCTCAGGTTTTACCATCAGCGATGTCCAGCAAAAACGCAGATTTACTGGATTTTTAATCGTGGTGTGCTTTTTGAAGACGCACACAGTTACGTATATCAGATAATGCTATGATAATGTACATAAGTGCAATGATATTTGCCAATCGCCTACACGTTTGACATATTTGTTTATAAGGCATTAATCTCGCCAGTGTCAAGTTTACATTATTAAGCTATAACTGAGCGAAAGTGATCAAATGTAAGGCTGGATTTTAGGGCATAAAGCGTCTGCACTTTCACATTGCTTACATCTCTTGCCTGTGTTTCTTTGATTTTGATTTCTCTCCCTCACTTATTATCTGGAGAATTTTCAATTTGCCATTTTTCACAGAGTTAACGTCATCTCTCATTTTTCAGCTAATGTGGAGGCAGAATTCATCCATATGCGCATTTACGCACTGTGCCATGTACGCAAACTGTTCCTCTTTGCAATGCTGTCTTTTAAAGTTAGATTCAGACATCAATCTAGACATACTGTAGATCTTTTTGAGCTCCATTAATTACAGCATTTTGACAGACAGTTCACTGCTGAATATTAGAAGAAGAAAGCAAACTACACGAGTGTGGTGTTTTGTACTGAGCTGTATGACTTCACGTTCAATATGGAACGATTTGTGACTGAAAATCTTAAACAGTGCAAATCTTACAAATACACATGAACTGTAAAAATAACTATTACTGGCACAGCAGGTATTTTGGTGGTTGGCCTTATTGTATATGTAATTGTAAGAGTTTCCCTTTAACGGCACAGAAATTTGAGAGGAAAATATTTAAATGACTCACACAACCCTTATTTACTGGTTTGCTGCACACTGCCTAACACTCAATTTAACGCTGAAAGAAGCAGGCGTGACTTTGTTTGTGATATTCGTCAAAGCTTGAGAGTTCATTTCTTTTTAATGAGAGGGGGAAATGTTATCAGAGTGCGTAATTGTGACAGGTTGATAGCTGTGAACACAGTGCTAAACCTTTGCTCTGTCCTGTAACACTTCACCTAATCCAAACGCTGAGTGTTTACAGCTGTCTCCCTTTCTGCCCTTCATTAATAATACCCGTAGGTTACTTTAGCCTGTTTACTTTAGTTCTCGCCTACTTTAGTTCAGAATTCAAACGTGTATGCATGTCTCGGGAGTGCGCACAAAGAGCAACCTACATGTACTTTGTTGTTGTTGTCTGCTTTTTTTTTTTTTTTACTTCTCTCTGTCACACCCATAAATACCATGAATCCGTCAAAATATAGCAAGTATGGCAAAGTTTGACTGTGTTAGTGTGTTGGATTAATGCATCACTCTTAAAATATGCAAAATTGACTTCATAAGTTCCATCAGCCTCACACAGCCTGTAGAAAAACAAGAGCATTGTGTATTTACGCACAGGGGGCTCAGGATCTGAGGGTAAATAATCCCCCCCATATGAACATGTCCATTCTTCATTGGTGACTCTCTCAAGTTCCTCCTGATTTGACAGTCTTCTGGCATGGACCTTGGTCTTCAGTTCATCACACATATTCCTTCTTTCTTGACGAGATTCCTAGTTCCAGACTGACTAAAGCATCTCCACACCATAATACTCCCACCATTGTGTTTCACTGTGGACGGTGTTCTTTGGGTTGCTTGCCCTTCTTTCTCTAAACATCAGCAGCATTTCTTTGGCCAAAGGACACACTTTATAGTATGCATAATCTTTCTCTAGATTGACCTTAGCATACTTGAGTCTGGTTTGAAGGTGTCTCACCTGCAGAAGTGGAGTTTTTCTTGGTCTGCAACCTCGTAGTCCAGTCCTTTGCAGGGTTCTAGTGACGGTTTTCCTTAAAGCTACAATGCCTGACTTGGCTAAGTGACTCTGGAGTAAAGGTAAGAAAGATGCTAAAACTTGAAGTAAAACTTAATGTAAAGTGAATAACTGGAATAAATGTCAAATATATATAGGAGCCTTTATTTCACAATCATAGCCAACAAATGAACAACCATTAGTGGCTCCTTTTAACTTTGTTTTTAATTTAGCTTTACTGTCTTGATGGAATTAACCATAGATGCACAATCATGATAACAATGGCAAACCATTGCCATACCTACCAGGACCATAGAGCGTTTGCTGCTGCTTCTTCAGTGGTGAAAAATAACTGTTTTGGCTTAGCTAGAGTCTGAAAAACTGAAAAGCCAGCGCTCATGTATGAGGATTCTATAAAGCTTTGCCAATACTTCCAGGGTTAAGAGTCAAGTTACAGGAATAAGAACAAGCCAGCCATACTTGAGGCTTCTTTTGAATATTATAGTGAAATCTGCACAACAATCCAGTCTGGAATGGAAAACATCCATTTGCATCATCCTTCATCATCTCTGCCTGCTTTACTACATGTTTTTACTTAACCACCAACTGCAACCTAGATAATGTCCTTTAACACTATCACAAGCAAACAAGTCTCTAACAGCTGACAAGAATGCCACCTGGTGTGGTTCTTTGATGCAGTCCCCCATCGTTTTCTAGGTGTGACATTATTTCAATCACAGAGGCTCTTCTGCATACACTTTCCTGTTCTTGTACTTTCTTCATTTGCCATTTATCATGCCACAGAAATAGGATGAGTAAACACTAATGCATGTATTTCATAATAAAATCAAGGTAAATGATTAAAGTGAGTCTTTTCTTGAATTTTTATTTTCTAATAAAGGTGATTTATTCTTGAATGAAACCACTAGCACCCTTATCTATCTGTATCATCTTAACACAGGGAGTCACGTTCAGTGAAGCTCAGTTTAACTTGTTCGGCTTTTCTTGCTTATTGCTATCAACATGATCAGCATGACTGGTTGACATAGCTTTAAGCAAATACATCATATGACTGAACTTTCTTATACACTTAACACATTATGCAGAGAGGCAGAGATGTGTAGAAATATGATTAACTGTGTTTAGTGATCTCCCCACCCTTTGTTCACAAGGACGTAGAAACATGTTGGGGGTTATAGAGGAAATTAAAAGAACAACATAAAAGTGTAATGGAAGGGTAGAAGGGCAAAAGAGGGTGAAGAAAGGAATAAAAAGTAGAGGGGAAAAACAACAATCCCCTATGAATAAGCAATAGGCAAGAGTGGGAAGGAAAAACTTTTTTCAAAGAAAACAAAGGGAGACAGGATGAAGAAGAGAGGGGAAAGGGTTAATAAAGGATGGAGGATGGGAGGAAGGAGAAGAAGAGAAAGGGTAAATGGAGAGAGAGGGTGGAGGGAGAGGAGGCTACTCTTGTCCAGACTGAGCTGAAGAAGCAGCAAAGTGCTGCTTATCATTTTCAAGCACAGTTCTTGTGGATCTTTTGTCTGTGCTTCAACATTTTTATCTTAACGCTCTTTCTTCTTTTTTTAATATTGCTCTTACTTTCGTTGCTTTGTGCATGTCTTCATATCTCTGATGTACTTTTTTACAGATGGCTTATAACTCCTGCTTCCTCCTCTCCATGTGTACACTGAGCATCTTTAAGTGTTTATGCCCATCCTCGCTTCTCCTCCTGCATTTCAGTGTTTCTCTCTTGTACTTTGTTATGCAGTCCTTGGATCCTTCAGGTGTTCTTTCTGTTTCTTGATTTAAATGTTGTTTTGTTTTTGTCCTTCTTTGTAAAATACTTGCAAATCTGTATTTTTCTTCTTAAAATCTTGGATATTTGCATCTCTTTGCATTTCTTCCTGTTGTTCCTATGTCTGTAGGTGCAGTGCTTCATTAATCATTACTTGCATATCCTCTATAACTGCTTGGTCCTGTTGGTTCTTCTCCCCAAAACTCATGAGGAGTTCATTGAGAATTCAGGTTTTAAATTTCAGTTTCTATCACAAGTTATCCTTTTTGCATTTTGTGCTGGCACAAACAAGTTACTAAATATTGTCACTAAATCTCATGAGTTCTGATCGTTTTTATCTTTAACTTGTTTTGCTGCAGTAAGTGACCTTTCTGCACCCTTTATGTCAAGAGGAAATCCTCTAGGTACTTATGTCAAGTACAACCCCCCCAAAACACAAAAGCACATTACATCAATATACATCCTATTTTTTTTTTATTATTTATTCATTTTAAAGATTTAATAGCTTGTTTTCCCGAAATGTTTATGTTACAATATCCTCAAATTCAGCCATTTGTAAAAACATTCATGAGGTGTGTGTATATATTTAAAAAAAAGAAAAAAAGAAAAAAAAAGTGGGCGGGGGAGGGGCATCACCAAGTAGACACATTAATCCACACTTTCTCAGACACGTACATAAAAATGTATGCAATTGTCCTTATGTATTTTACACATACATATACACGTTTATATATAAAATACACTTCAAAAGTGTTGGTTATTTGTTCAATTGGTCGTAATTAGGATTTTTTTTTTTGTCAATCATTATCATGAAAACTGGAGAAAAGTTCCATGTAGAACAGGAAACCTATGATTGCCTGTGGCAGTCTTTCACAGAAAGACTTGAAGGCAAAAACTAAACTCAAGCCTACCCTGCCTCTACCAAACAAAAGAAGAAGAAGAGCAGATTCACCCGCTCCTCAGTACAAAAAAAAATAAGAGGAAATAAAAGTTTTACAACTGACAACAAGTGTATGTGCCTGCAGCATTTAACTCCAGGGTATAGCTCAAATTCTCATTAGCTTTCCTTGCATCCTCATAGCTGGACGGCTGAGAAGACCAAACTGAGCTACTACACAGCTTCTTCTCAGTTCCTTGAGGAGCCCGAGAATCACGAGGTTTGAGTTCACTCATTAAAGGCTCCTCTGTCTATTAATAATCATACTGGATGATATTTAACTCGCTAGCAAAACCTATAATCTTAGAGTAAACTCTCTAGTAACACAAGAGTGATTACATGTTAGGATTTGTACAATTTTGATCAAAGGGAGTGGAAACATTGGAGGTGGGGG